CCATATAGGGATGGCCGGTTCGCTCACTGGCTGAGCGTGGTGCTGACAACACCAAGTCAAGGGTTAAGATCCCCTTACCGGTCATCTTTTATTTTTTTATTTTTTTAAAAAGATGACCGGTAAGGGGATCTCAACCCTTGGCTTGGTGTTGTCAGCACCACACTCAGCCAGTGAGCCAACCGGCCATCCCTATATGGGGTCCGAACCCGTGGCCTTGGTGTTATCAGCACCGCACTCTCCCGAGTGAGACACGGGCCGGCCCCAGGGGTACAGCATTTTTTGTGCACAAAGCAAAAAATTGGAAAGATAGAATTCTGCATATATACAGCCAAAGCCACACCATTTATAGCTCTGTCACTGGTCCCACTGCCCATGATTTCTGTTCCCCCTATGATACAGCATTGGAGTTAATTCTTAGGTTTCTCTCTCCTCTTTTCTTTCATTCATTTGACAAATATTTATAGATCATCTCTTTTGTGCTAGAAACTTCTATAGGGCTGGGGATACTCAGTGGTGAATTAAACGGACCAAACCTCTCAAGCAGCTATATTCTCAAGCAGGGTGGGAGAAGAATACACACATTAGTATCTGTCAGGTAGGACGGGGATTGGCCGGTTAGCTCAGTTGGTTTCAGTATAGTGCTGATAACACCAAGGTCCAGGGTTTGATCCCTGTACAGGCCAGCCACCATAAAAACAAACAAGCAAATAAACAAACAAAAAACCAAACAAGAAATATGTATGTATGTCAGGTGGGATTAAGGGCTGCTGAGATAGAGTGAGATAGAGGATGACTGTATGACTGTGGGGAAGTGCTATTTTATAAGCTGGCTCTGGAAAGCCTCTCTCATAAGTGAGGTTGAATAGAGACCTGAAGGTAGTAGGGAAGAAAATCCTGTAGCAGTTCTCTTGCCTGAGCTCTGCTTAGAGGTGCGCACCATGTGGCATCAGAGTTCTGCACAAGGACGTGAAGTGGAAGGTGCAGGAGTAGACCTCAGCTTGATAGAAGTGTGAGGCTGCTGAAAAACAGGATGGGGACTTCTCTCTTTTTTTTTAAAGATGACCGGTAAGGGGATCTTAACCCTTGACTTGGTGTTGTCAGCACCACGCTCTCCCAAGTGAGCTAACTGGCCATCCCTATATAGGGATCCAAACCCATGGCCTTGGTGTTATCAGCATCACACTCTCCCAAGTGAGCCATGGGCTGGCCCTAGGATGGGGACTTCTCTCTTTTTTTTTAAAGATGACCGGTAAGGGGATCTTAACCCTTGACTTGGTGTTGTCAGCACCACGCTCTCCCAAGTGAGCTAACTGGCCATCCCTATATAGGGATCCAAACCCATGGCCTTGGTGTTATCAGCATCACACTCTCCCAAGTGAGCCATGGGCTGGCCCTAGGATGGGGACTTCTCTGAAAGCACTGAGTGGTCCCTCTCACTGGCACTTTCCAGACAGAAGTGGACACAACTTCTTGTTGGGAATACCGTGAAGTTGATCTCTCCAAAATCCCTTCCCAGGATCTAGAAATAAATATAGATATAAAAGTTCCCTCACTCCATCCTATGAGAAAGCCTGAAAGCAGCAACACCCCAATAGTAATAAGCACACCTAGCACCCAGATCTTGGTTTCCAAACACCACACTCCGCTAAGCAGAACCAGGGCTCCTTGATATGGCCAGTTCCAGGGCTGGTTCACAGAAAAAACAAGACAAGCCTGGAACACTTTGTTGTACTTCAAGTGAACAACAATAACCTCACTAGTAATTGGACAGAAAGACAGATGAAATACAATGAAAAGAACATTGAATCTGTGACATTCTGGCCTAAAATACATAAATGGGGTCTAATTCAGAAACATCAGACAAACCCAAATTGAGAGACACTCTACAAAATAACTAGCCTATAACCTTCTAAAATGTCAAGGTCATGGAAGTCCCCAAAAAACTGAGAAACTGCACCAGATTGAAAGAGATCTAAGAATCTACAATAAGTGCCCCAGGCAATTATTTTGATGCTAAATGTCTGCTCACTAATGACCGTATATAAATTTTCAACTGGTTAGCTCAGTTGGTTAGAGTGCAGTATTATAACACCAAGGTCAAGGGTTTGGATCCCTGTATCAGCTAGCTGCCAAAAAAAAAAAAAAAAAAAAAAATTTCTTTTCCTCCAATGATCAGAGAATTTAATGTCATGGGAACAAAGCTCCTTGGGCCTCAACCAGATCCTTACATACCATGAGAGTTCAACGCCTTGCTTTAATTTACTACTGCAAAGCCAGGTCCTGTTTTCCCGCTACTTGAAATAAGATGCAACTTCCTATCAGGGACCATGATAGCTTCTTCTACTGTCAGAGACAAGGCCCCCCCGCCACCCCCCAGAGGGTGCCACTGAAATAAAAATTCACTATTTTATTCTTACAGTGAAATGCTCTAAGAATGCTTATTTTTCTTGTTTCCTGGGGCCTATGGGACATGAGAGATTTATCTGATGTTTGTGGTGTTCCTCAGTTCCAGCCAATGAAGGCTATATATACACATAAAGTTGAAGAAGATGAATATAGAAACTACAGTCTTGGTTTTTGTTTGTTTTTAACTGTGGTTTCCTCTAGAGCATGAGGCCAGGGTTAGAAGAAAAGGACTTTACCTATGTATTCATCTATTAATTTATTTGGACTTCTATTTTTAAATATTTTTCCATATGTTTTGAAAATAATTTTTAGGGGCCGAGCCCGCGGCGCACTCTGGAGAGTGCGGTGCTGGAAGCGCAGCAGCGCTCCCGCAGCGGGTTCGGATCCTATATAGGGATGGCCGCTTCGCTCACTGGCTGAGCACGGTGCTGCCGGTCTCAAAAAAAAGAAAATAATTTTTACCGTTAAGTATGAAATACTCATTTGATTAAAAAAAAAAAGTAAAAGTACCCATGCCGATATCCTGATTATAATATTGTACTATACTTTTGCAAAACATTACCACTGGCAGAAACTGGATAAAAGGTACATAGATATTTCTGCATTATTCCATATAACTGCACATGAATCTTACAATCATCTCAAATTCAACAGTGCAATACCGCTGCCACCACAGGGCCCACCTGGGGTCCTGAGGTATGGAGCCAAAGACTGGACCCCCTCCCACAACCAGGCACACTGCTGCCACCACCAGCAACTAGGCAAGGAACATGCTGAAAACATCACCTCCATGTGGGTGGCCCACCACAGCCACCATAATAACCACAGCTGCCACGAAAGTGGCTAGATGCCACAACCACCATGCAGATGGCCTGCCAGCCACTGGAGAGCATTGACACAAGGAGAGTCACAAGTACAGACCAAAGAAAAGAAGAGGATGTCTCTCTCCACAAAGCCCATTCCAGAGTGACAGAAGAAGCACCTGCTCTACGATAATACTGGAGTATCTGAATGCCTCTCAGCGTTGGACATATCATCTAGGCAACAAATCAACAGAGTAACCATTACTCTTTCAGAAGAAGAGAAGAAATCTAGGGTTATCAGAGGAGGGAGGGGGGAAGGAGAGGGGGATGGGGAGAGATTGGACAAGGGGCATAAAAAATAAGTACAATTTGTAATAATATATATGCTAGTAATATTGATTTGATCAACATATGTCAGTGTTGAACCCCCAAAATATGTATAATCAATTATGATTCACTAAAAATTAAAAAAAAAAAACCCAAAAGCCCCAATGCAATAAAAAATAAAGCTGGTAAAAAATTGGTTTAAGGGCTGAAAAGTAGCCACAACCAGTTAGCATTCCTGAAGAAACACAGGTATGAAGTACGTAGAATTGTTTTCAAAATCTGGTTAGAAAACTACTCTCTTTATAAATAGGTACAGCCACCCTTTGGGAAACAAATTTGACAATAAATAACAAAAGCCTTAAATTCTTTAATGCCATTGGGAATTTATCCTAAGGAAATAAGCCTAATCGCCCAAAAAACAACAACAAAACACCAAACCAAAACCTGAATGCACAAATATTTTCATCACAGTGAGAACCTAGAAACAACATTAAGAAAAATCCAACATAGAGTAGTGATGGAGTATAGAGCAGCATATTTTATAGTCATAAACATGTATGTGAAGAAATTTTTTTAGTGGGAAATGCTTTGTTACAATGTTCAGAGAAAAAAACTAGATAACCACCCAGTATATGCAATAGAGTCATAATTAAGTAAAAGTGTATAGACTTAGAAAATGTACAAAAATGTTTATAGTGGCTGTCTTTAAATGGTGAAAGTACAAGTGATTTTCTTTCTAGTTTTCAGCATTTTCCAAAATATGTTTAATGCTTATATATCACCCTAA